GCCTATCATAAGACAAAGCGTCTTACGTTTTCCGATCAACGCGTTTTGACTACATCTTGGTTGTTGTATACCAGTGGCTACATTGCATATTGTATGTCAAAACATAAGACAGTTTGTCGGACACTAGTTTGCGCCATACAATTGGCCAAAAATGTTCAGGTCTGCTCGCCACGACAGCGGTGGCAACGTTGAGCGCCGAAACGATGCAGTTGCATGATACGGTAGGGTAAGTAGCCTCCTGTTCACACACGAAGCGATGTGCCTGTAGTTGGCCGCTGGCAGCAAGCTTAAATATCGGCATAATGACTGCACGAACGCGTGCATGCAGTCCGTGGAGCTGTTCCACTCAGAGGTGCAGCCGTTGAAGGGCACGGAGTTACGATGAAGTTTGTAGACGTAGACTAAGAGGGACAAATAGCTCGTAACGGTACTACATGTACATTTTAATGTAGTAATTTTTATGCTTGAGCGTACATCATAGTAGTTGTGAAGGCGAGGCAGCCAGGGAACGGTGTTGCCAGTGGGCTTCCCGAGATCCTCCGACCCCCTCTTACCTAATCATTACAGTCCAGCAACAAAATGCAACCACGTACTCTGCAACGGCGATAACACCTAGATATTGTACCTACGACGCTGAGGTGCGGAGGAGCTCCACACTGCTGCGCGGGCGCTCGGCGCGCGCCATATCGCTGCTGGGCTCGACCTTCGGCTTCGGCGAGTTACTCGGTATCTCCTGCAACTTAGCCACTGCCTGCAGCCATGCTTTTTGCGGATGCTACAGCGTAGACTGGTTTGCGTGTGCGCCCTCTATCCGAATCTCCATCTTCTATGTAGTGTTAGTAATTTACTGTAGAAAGGAGAGTTGGCGTGGTGGGGTGAACGACTGTTGTCGTTCACCCCAGTAAAGCGAAGAAACATTGCTCCACTACGGGAACAAACGGTCGCATGATAACTGTGCTATGATGTCCTTACATTCCATTCCTGGCAAGTATATTTAAATCTTCTAGCAGGAGGTTAGTGCATGGCGTCAGGATCAAAAGCCCGGACATTTTTCAAGTGCGCTGCCTCTAGTAAAGGGGGCAAAATGCGCACACAGATGAATCAGTCCAATTTACGAGCCGAGATGCAGCAACACTCAAAACTACATAATACAATATTAACCAATGAAATTGCTACATTTGATTTGTCGTCAAACTGTCTTACGAATGCTCGACACAAGTGATTGACCATCCACGACTTACAGCAATTCGTACTCGAGTACGATTTATAGTCGTGCTCGATAAGTCGTACGAGTTATTGTGCTTTGCAGTTATTTTGCCGACCATTTTAGACGCTAAATATGGCAAAGCCTGCTCCTAAATATGTGTGAAAGAAGATACACGGCCTGCTAAAATTATGCATAAATCCACCTCCTCATATATATATCGACTTGGGAGGGCCTGTCAGCAGCCATGCATTGGCCCAGTACACCACCGTCCATGATCCCCAGCACATCCACCCTCTTATGCATAATTGCCGTGTGTGTAGGTGCTTGTGGATAAAAACCGACAGAATTGCAGCTGCACAGCCACAATTGCACTTTTGAAAGTGCAATTATGGCGCTTTTAGCGTAATTCTAGGCCTCCACCCATTTATGCACCTCGATTTATCGTAAATCTAGCAGGTGGTCGTAATAATACAGCAAATCTCGCCTCATATTGCCAAAATCATTGCAAAGCACAAATACAGTCTGAAGTGCCAAAAAGTACAATATGTGTTATTATAATAAACCTGGCGAGATGTGCGCCTAAATACTTTTGTCCAATAAAAACAGAAACTACATAGTGATTATGTCCAATTAAAGCGAATATGTGGTCTACATTAAAGAGAAGTCGCACTCTCGCAACACTGCCGCTCTGCTGGACATGGCGAGCCAGTCGGATCTCCAGCCTGGAGTCGAGGAGATAGCCGCATTCGTGGACGACAGCGTCTTCACTCAGTTGAGCGCGAAACTGGGGGACGCGAAGGAAGGCAACGAAGGAGCACTGGAGAAGAAGCCTCTTCGCATCGATGAGTATTTGAAAAAATATCGCGACGCGGGACTCCGGGTCTCTCAGTGAAGATTGGGATCGTATACGAGCACCCAGACGTGACGGTCGATCTTGCGGAAACCATTACGGTCAAGACGATTGAAGACCTCCTGGCAAAGTTTGTTCCGGAAGACAACCCCCTCATCACCAAGCTGGGTGAAGACGAAATGATTCGACTCTCGGATGCGTTCACTAAAGTCACGTACGTCGGCAAGGCCCAAGACGACCTCGCAGAATACCTGCGGGACTGCTGGAAAGAGTACAACCCTGCAAAGTACAAGGCGCCATGTGTGGCGGTTGTGCAGAGTTCTGGCTTCGGCAAGAGTCGGATGGTGCGTGAACTCGCGATTGAGGCTCAAAAGAGCGCCTTGAACATGAAAGTCCTGTACATGTGTGCCCGTGTGCACGAGTCGACGGGGTTTCCCAAGGCTACGAGCGAGCTTCGTGGTTGGCTGTTTCAAGAAGGCTCCAAAGTGGAAGACATCGCCAGTCGATTGAAGACAATTTACGTCTACGCGAACAAGCATTGGGCGGACGTTCAGAAGGAATGGCTGAAGCTGTTTACCGAACAGGCAGCGGACACCTCTGTATAGGCGAAACTTTCGGATGAAACAGATACGCTGGAGGGGGATACCTCTACTGAGAAGAATCCAAATGGCAGAATCGTGGTTCTGGTGATCGATGAAGCGAGAAGTCTGCTGGCTGAGAAGGGAGGCAAGAAGAATGACTTCCGAATGTTGCGAAATGCTCTCAGATCCGTGAACAAAGATATCGGCCATCGTGGATGCATTTTCGGCGTGCTGATTGATACGAACTCCAGGATCTCGGACCTGGCGCCTCCGCTGTTGTTGGACCCATCATCTCGGCTTTTCGATGGAGAGGTGGCATCGTTTGCGCCAGTTGTGTTAGCTGAGACAATGGACGCACACTGGGATCAATACTGTGAAGAAAAACAAGCCGGTGAAGATGAAGAAACGAAAGAGGAAACCCAAGTTGCGGTGGGAGCTGAAGACGAAGAGAAAAAGAAACAGCAAGGACGTGCTCAGATAGCTATGTACAAGACAGTCGTAACTGGAAGCAAGGCCGAGGCCTGGGAAGCATTGAGGCGTATGGGGCGTCCGATGTGGTACAGCACTTGCCCCAATCCTGCGGATAGAGAAGACGTGATCAATCTTGCGGCGAACAAGCTGCTACTGGGGATTCCCCCTTCGCAAAATGCGTACAACAAGGATACCATGTTTGGTGTCGCCTCCATGCTTTGCCGTCTGGGCGTGCGCCCGCATTCAACGTCGGCTCTGGCATCTCGGGCGACTGCCGACTTCATGGCGATTCTCGCGTATGTGAATTTCAAGCGAGAAGGTTACGTCACCAGCTACGCTTCGGACCCAGTGCTCGCCTTAGGAGCGATGAAAGTGTGGTATGAACTGAAACATGGTTTGGCAAAGTATATCCTGCCGCAACTCAAGAGCCTCCTTTTGGATGAAGCATTGGACACCGGTGGAGTTGGCGAAATTGGCGAGATGGTTGCTCGGATTTTGCTGCTTCTGGCGATGGACACGTGTGTGATGGGAGACAAAGACTTTTCCCAGTGCTGCCACACGATCGGGCAATTTGTACCGGTGCAGGATTTCTTGGACGTGCTGCAAGGCAACAAGGAGAGACCGATATATTGTAAGGGGATGTACAACGCGGAAGATAAGAGACCAGAATTCAACGAGTGGTGCTCGAAGTGGGATGGTTGGTACATGGGGTTCACCCACTTTGTGCAGTTGCAGCTTGAGCCGAATGAGGACACGCTTTGGTTTTTGCTGGGACGTCAGGCTGCAGGTATTTTCCCCCGTAACCAGTATGGAGCCGATTTGTTGATCCCGATGTTTAAGAAGAGATCCAACAGCAGGCCAGTCGGTGGGGAGACAACGAGGGGTGAACAAGAGGAGCAGGAAGTGTTGATGATGTTGATTCAAGTGAAGAATCGTTCCCCAGTCGATGGTGGGTTTTCCAGGGCAGCGACGGAGAAACTATGCCCCTGGTTTGTGTTCGGAAAGAACAGTGATGGGAACTCGTCAGCGGGGAAATCTACCGGTGAAATTGGTGGGGATCCGAAACCGCTGAGCTCCACGGATGTCCGTGATACCATTCGCATCTACATGAATGTGCGCGGTAGAACGCGTGACGGCAAGTTCATCTATGCCACGACAATGAAAGACAATCTTAAGCCCAAGAAGAAAGGCAACGCCTCTGAGGTGAAGGAGGAGAGTCAGACGATCGGGAGTCAGGCGAAGAAGCGGGCGAAGATCGAGAGCAATCCTGGCGTCTCAAGTGTGTCGAGTGTCTCGGAGGAGGATCCTGTTTTCACGATCTGCCTCCGTTTGCTCAACAGGGTCACCTACCCGTTCCTGAGCGACGGCGTGGCTTCCATTCTATCAAACATGGTGGAGTCTCAGTATGACCCGCTGGGGCTTGTGGAGGGCGACCTGGACTATCGCGATGAAGATGAAAAACGAAACAAGAACGTTAGTTCGTATGCAAAGTTGTCGCTTACCGCGACGCGCGACAAGTTGTTGCAGAACGCCCGTAAAGCACTAGCGTACGCGCCGGGTGACAAGGAAGAAGAGTGACGCTGAGAGTGACGTTGGTGGCAGTGGTGAGGGCCACTAGGCGATCAAGGTGGCGAGACGGAAACATCCAAGAAACGAGCACGTGAAAACCAAGAGGGTGAAGAAGGCCGTCCCACTAAACGCGCCAAGTGATCCAACAAGACGCCCAAGCCCACACCGAGGCAGTAACAGTACGTGCCTGGTGCCTGCAGCAACTAGTTTTAACTACCAACAATTTGTTTTACTTGAGAGTACGCAGCCACCTCCAGTACGCTTCACCTTGCAGTCTTACGGAAGTAGCACGTCTTTTGCTGTCTACGTCGTCTTTACTGCTCTACCTACTCGTCCTGCAGGAACGGGTATTATAGTCCATGTACCCGCGCGCGTCGCCGAGGTAGAACGTGTCCGTGTCGTAGTCGTTCACGGGCTTGTTGAGTTGGAAGCGCCGCACCAGGTCCGGGTTCGAGATGAAGTGGCGGCCGATGGCCACGGCGTCGGCCGCGCCCTCCTCCACGATCTGCACGGCCGACTGCCGGTCGAAGCCCGACGCGGCGAGGAGCACGCCCTTGTACGTCTCGCGGAACTGCCGCGCCGAGCCCTTCTCGGGTGCCAGCGGGTCACGCACGTGGTAGCCACGCGGCTCGATCAGGTGCGCGTAGGCCAGGTCGTAGTTGTTGAGCCTGTTCAGCACGTACGTGTACGTGGCGATGGGGTCCGAGTCCTTGTCGCCGAAGCTGCCGCCGAACGGGGACAGTCGGATGCCCACCTTGGACGAGTCCAGACTCTCGAGGATGGCCTCCAGTGCCTCGAACAGGAAGCGCGCGCGGTTCTCGATGTTGCCGCCGTACTGGTCGGCGCGGTCGTTGATGCCGTCGTGCAGGAACTGCTCCAGCAAGTAGCCGTTGGCGGCGTGCAGCTCGACGCCGTCGAAGCCCGCGCTGATGGCGTTCTCCGCGGCCGAGCGGTAGTCCGCCACGATGCCCGGGATCTCGCTCGTCTCGAGCGCGCGCGGCGGCACGGGCTCCATGCGTCCTTCGCGCGTGACGATCTTCTTGCCGGCGCGGATGTTCTCGAGCTTGGAGCTGGACGACACGGGCAGGACGCCGCCCGGCTGGGGCCGATGCGGCCCGTGTGGTCGTATCTTACCTATGGTATGTGAAGTAGAGTGTCCTCTTGGTGCTGCTCACGCAGAGATGGAAGCAACGACAACACTCAGCTGGGCGGCAAAAGCCACTTTGTTGGTCGTGTGTATATTCTCAACTGAGGCCTAGATTCTTCTCTTTCACCTTTTGTCTTACTCCAACTGCAAGTAGTATAGTGGGGATCAGTATAATCCGCAACAGCCCCACCTACGGATTCCCATCAACATGCATCTCCAAATCTTGCCCTTGGCAATAATCCCATTGCAGCTCTGTGTTTTTCAAATGCCGGACGTGCCAATGGCTTTGCAAAAGCATCGGCCACGTTATCAACTCCTGGCACTCGAAGCACGTCAATTTCCTTCAAATCGATGCGCTCACGCACGAAGTGGTGGCGCACATCGATGTGCTTGGTCCGAGAATGAAACACAGGGTTGCTGGCAAGCTTCTTTGCACTTTCGTTGTCAACAAAGACTTGGGATGGCTGAATTTGCTGCACCTGCAGCTCCTTCAGCTTTTGGCCCAAGTGCACTATCTCCTGCACCAGTAGACTAAGAGCCATATATTCGGCCTCGGTCGTGTGCAGCGCGACGGTCTTCTCCGTCTGGCTGCTCCACAAAATGATGCTCCCACAAAATTGAGTCACGTAGCCTGCAACAGACTTTCGATCATCAACTCGATTTGCAAAATCCGCATCTGCGTATGCTCTCAGATGTTCATCCAGCTTTTGATCTGACCACGCTAGACCACCAAGCTGGATCCACCAGTCCGCTGTGTCTTTCAGGTAGCGCAATCCACGTTTTGCAGCTCTCCAATGCAACAGACCTGGGTTTTCCAAGAACTGACTGCACTCTCTAACGAGGTAGGCCAGATCGGGCCGGGTACCGAGCATCAGGTACATCAGGCTGCCAACCACAGCACGATATGGCTTCGATCTCATCAGTTGCTTTTCATCGTTTTCGGTCGGACACATGGCCTTGCTCAGCTTCAGATCCGCCGTGCTCGGCGTCTTGCAGCCATTGCAGTCCTGCATGTTGAACCGCTTGAGCACGGTCTCGGCATACTTCTGCTGACCAATGAACATCGTTCTCTCGGCCCGGTTCCGCGTGATCTCCCAGCCTAGAATGTAGTGTAACTCCCCGAGATCCTTCATCGCAAACCGATCCTCGAACATCTTCTTCATCTTGTTGATGAGCTCCATCGACGGAGCAAACAAAATCAGATCATCAACATAGAGAGGGATGAAGACCAACTGCCCATCAATTACTTTCACAGCCACGCAGGCCTCCGACTGCAGCATCGTGAAGCCCTGCTCCTCCAAGAACGACTTGAGCAGCTGAAACCACACTCTGGGCGCCTGCTTCAAGCCTTGCAGGCTCTTCTTCAATCTGCACACCCAGTCCTCTTTGCCTTTCACTTTGTAGCCTTCAGGCTGCTCCATATAGACCTCCACGTCAATCGCCCCATTCAAGAAAGCAGTAGTGACATCCATCTGATGCACTTCATAATTCCAGACAGCCGCCAGTGTCAAGAGAACACGCAGTGTCTCCAGCCTCACAACAGGCGAGTACACCTCTAGGTAGTCGATACCATAAATTTGCATGAAGCCCTTGATCACGAGCCTCGCTTTGAATCTTTCGATCTCTCCGTTCGCTAGATACTTGACGCGAAAGATCCAGCGATTCTGCAGCACTTTCATGTGCTTCTCACGCGGCACCAACTCCCAGGTATCGTTCTTCATCAATAAATCAAACTCATCATCAGCTGCATTTTTCCATTGCAATGAGTGCTCACTCTCCATAGCGTCACCGAAAGTATCTGGCTCTTCAAACTCGCCAGTACTCATGCAGCAATAGTCCTCCCACCATGCAAGGATCAACTCGTTCGCGATAGCACGTTGCAACGCAGCTCGTCCTTTCCTCCATCGAGCAGGCAACGAGTTCACATCATCATCTGGATTTGTATTTTCGTAGGCAATGTAGACGTAGTCACCGAGCCACGTGGGCGGTTTACTTACCCAACCGCTCTGTGTCACTGGAGGGTCTTTAGGGCGAGTGCCTCTCGGGCCTGTGTACTCACGAAGTGCTGTGCAAGGAGGCGTTGATAGACGCCCCACACTCGCAGCATCACTCGACACTTGGCTGTCCGAGTCGACCCGCTCAGCAGCCGATGACCTGCTGTCCACCTCTTCCACCTCTTGACTCCCTGGTAGAGCCCTCGTCTCGTCAGCAGCCGGTCCCTTGTGCCGCCCACTGCTGCGTTTCCTCTTTCTCCTTCTTTTGGAATTGCCTGGCACGCACTCACCTCAAAGGTGGTCTGCCTCATGTCCATTGACACGTTCCTCATCACGTTCTGCCACCTTGCTAGAACGATCACATCCAGATGCTGTAGAGCTCACTCCACGTCCTTCATCTCGTTCTGCCACCTTGCAAGAACGTCCACTTTCAAACACCGCAAACCGCACTCTCTTTGGTCGAGGCGCTGCGGCATCACCACCGGGGCCTCTCTTCTTGGACCCACATGCCCCATCTGACCGGACATCTTGCTCAACTGCCCCACCTGGTCGGTCATCCGATCGGGTGTCATCAGCCCCACCAGTCCGATAATCACCTCCGTCTCTGGAGTCGCTGGCCCCACCAGTCCAGCAATCTCCATCATCACGATAACTACCTCCATCATTTGAGTCACCATGCATTTCATCCAGCATTGGCTCAATGTCATCCTCTACTGATCGATCAACGCCTAAATATTCCTTACCGGAGGCTGCACTTGGTGTTGATGCCGAGTCCATGAGCAATCGACCAGCTTTATTCTCATAGAACACGACAGTATGGCTGTAGAAGGCCTTGTTGGTCTTGCTATCGAGCAAGCGATAGCCTCGCTTCTCTCGCGAATATCCAACGAAGACCGCCTCCCGTGCTTTCGCCTGCATCTTCCGTCTCTCCACCTTGTTGATGTACGACAGGACGGCGCAGCCGAACGTCCGCAACTTCTCATAAGCAGGAGTCTGACGGTGCCATACTGCATACGGTACCTCCATACCTCGAACCGAGCTTGGCATAATGTTCACGGAGTATGCAGTTGTCATCGCTGCCTCACCCCACATCGCTTCAGGCAGGTCGAAGTGCACGAGCATGCATCGCATTCTCTCCGTAATGGTGCGGACCATTCTCTCCGCGACACCATTTTGCTCCGGAGTATGCTTGATGCTGCTGTCAAACTCCATACCATACTTCGTGTCACACGTACTTTGCAGCTTCTTGAACTCCTTTGCATTGTCTGACCTTAGCGCTTACATTCTGACATGCTGCTGCGTCTTGATGCGTTAATTGTACTCCTCAAACTTCTGGTACACTTCCGAACGATGCTCCAGAAGATACACGGTGACAAACCGACTCGCATCATCAACGAACACGGCAAAGTACCGTTTACCACCGTAGGAGTGCTCTGCATACGGACCCCAAGCGTCCACATGGACCTTTTCGCCAACTAACCACTCGCGGGTCTGTGTCCGAGACTTCTTCATGCTCTTCCTCGTAAGTTTCCCCGTCACACAGGTGTCGCAATTGAAACCCACCGGGATACGCAAATTCACATGTGGCAACGGCCACTGATCATGGCTGAACAGCGCATTAAACAAGTATCTGCCAGGGTGCCCCAATCTCGAATGCCACAGCTCCAAACTACTCACTCGACCTGGTAGCGCCACCATGGCTACCTCTTGGGGTCTCTCCAACTTCAAGCGATAGAGATTGGTATAATCAACTTGAGCGGTAGTCACACCAGCCTGTAAGATAACATCAGCGCGATCTGCCTCATCAAAGTGCACCTTCACACGATCACGTTCAGGCAGATATTGGTTCAGTTGCCGTCGCACAGAATAGAGACTGCACTGCAGCTCTGGAGCATAACGAACTCCTCGCAGCGTCAGTAAGCACCTCCCACCAGTAGTCTCCAGCTCTTTAACCACAGTACCAATACCCTCAACACCCAGCGAGTTCTTTCCTCCAACTCGAATCCGGGCGCTAAGAGGCGTGAACTCCATGAAATCAGTGAGCTGGTTCGAAATATGACTCGATGCACCAGAGTCCAGGTACCAGTTATCATGGACTTTGTCTGCGACCGGCTTTTTCATTTTCATCACTTGAAGAATAACATACGCGCTGTCATCACTTTCATTAGCGTAGCTACTCGTTTCAGCAGCCTTAGCACTCTTTCCTCCACTCATTTTCACGCGCTTCTGAGCTTGGGTGCTGCTGCGATCCTCGACTGGAGGTCGCTTGCCAAGAAACGGGCAATCAAACACATGATGCCCTGCTTCATGGCAGTGATAACAAGCACCACCTGGTTTTTGTCCACTGCCGGCTTGGCCACGTCCAGTTCCACGTCCACCACCTTGGCTCCCGCGACCGCCAGAACCACGTCCACTACCGGAACCGCGCCCGTGTCCTCCAGATCGACCACCACGTCCACGGCCGCGACCACGTCCTCGACCTCTTCCTCCACCAGCAAAGAACGCCTTTTCTTTATCATCATTGTCCTTGGCGCCCTCTGCTTTCCGACCTTGGCGATGGTCGTAAGCCATCTCCAATGCGAGTTCAAGTTGTTCGTAATTAGGAGGATCATCAGCATTTTGGGGCTTGTGGCTGGCGAGAAACGTCTGTACAACATGATCATATTCGCGCGGCAGAGATCCAATCAATAGTGCTGGCTTTACATACTCGTCCGCAGGACGCCCGACTCCAGCAATGGTCTCCATCAGCCGACGCATTTCGCTCAGGTGATCTGGCACATTGCCGTTGGGAGCGAGCCGTAGCCGACTGAGCTTGGCCCTCTCCTCAGCGTACTTCAGGTACGTCTTGCCCATAAATCTCTTTTTCAGGCGCTCCATGACACGAAACGGGGTGGGTTCATACTTCACAGTCTTCATTATGTGATTCGTCATTGCGTCGTAGATGATCTCGTTGGCGTGGGCCATCTCGCTCGTCCACGTCGCGTGCGCCTCTGCCTCCTTGCTCTCGTCCGGCTCGAGCAAGTCCTCCATGGAGTACTTCCACAGCTTCTTCCTCTCCAGCTTGAGCTTGACTCGCTCGTGCCAGACCTCGTAGTCCTTGCCGTCAAACGGCGGGATCGTCCTCTTCTCCTCGTGTGACTCCTTGGGCGTCTTCTTCTGCTCTACCATGACGTCCTAGTTGCTGTGCTCCCCTCGCGTGAGCCTTGGGCTCATAACCTGAAGTGGAGTGTCCTCTTGGTGCTGCTCACGCAGAGATGGAAGCAACGACAACACTCAGCTGGGCGGCAAAAGCCACCTTGTTGGTCGTGTGTATATTCTCAACTGAGATTTAGATTCTTCTCTTTCACCTTTTGTCTTACTCTAACTGCAAGTAGTATAGTGGGGATCAGTATAATCCGCAACAGTATGTACCGCATCGCCGAAGTTATTGTTCGCACATTTATTAATACCATAAAGCGCACTAAACACTTGGTGGCAATTTGGCCGGACTTCCGAGACAACACTAGGAGGATTCTGGAAGCAACTCGGGCATTATTTTCAGGAAGAAATACTCTACTTTTGATACGTAGCCATGTATTTACCAAACTACGCACTGTACGGGACTAGACTTGATTGAAATTTGTGACTGGGTTTGGCGGTGCTTTCCAATACAAACATCAAGTATAAAGGATTTGTATTGACCCGGAAAAAAATCGATCGAGTTTTCTGGTACATGTTGCTGAACTGATCGCTACCATGTTGAATAGACGCCAATGAAGACACTAGTCAGCTGACAGCCTCAACTTACGAGTATAGACCTCTCCACACTGTCAAATACCACTCTTCTATACAAATTCAAGATAGTGCGTGTCTCCATTGAATCTTATCAACCGCGTCAGCTTAACCTTATTTGAGCAGCTTACTACAGTGAAGTGCGTCGATAAGGAACGGGCGACATTTTATATTCTACGACAAGACATGAATCCTCGCTTGTACCCATTGTGTGCCAATTGTACTGAATTAGTTATATGATTCTACCAATCATTCGGTCCCGTTTAACATTCCGCCAATCACAGTTCCGAAACCGAGCCTCAAGAGCGGCTGGATGGAGCGGCTCCCAAGTCGGGGGAAATGGAACCTAAAGGTCGCGAGAGGGAATCATGAGCATGAGGATCGCTGTGAGCGCGGGAATCGCGCCAGGTACATGTCTGCATGCCTCATTAACCAACTTTCGCTCTGCTGCTCACAACTCCCATGGTGACCGCCACTTCCAGACCGTTCCAGAGGCGGCTACGTCTGACCAAGCTTCAGTCGCTGCTAATCTGTCATCGCCGTCGTGATCTACCGGGTGCTACCTATGCTGAGTTGGCTGCGTGGGCTCAAGCCGAGACTCTGGTCGCGAAGTCCGACATGAACTACATAGTGCAGTAAATCAGTGCATTTGCTGTCTGCATGTGACGAGTCAAACCTTTAATTATCAATATACCTTTTTCTTTCAATGTATATCAGGCGTTCCTTATCGACGCACTTTACTGTACCGGTAGGCGTTATTCGAGCTGTTCAATGGAGTTAGTTCATTTATTACGCTTGAAACAGCTCTCCACGAGTTTGTTACCAATCTTACCGATAGCTTACCGGGTGCGGCTATAATTTTGACCCGACCCAAAGTCGGTTTTTCGTCCATTGCAAAAAAACGGTTACAGCTTTTTCGATTCTGATTGTTGCATCTGTTTTCTATCGATTTTAGACGAATCATAAGCAGCGGTTTGGCGCCGAAAGCACAATCATTGGTTTAAAAAAAATAATTTTTGGGGTGCGGTTATAATTTCGGCGCGCACTGTATATCACGTAGATGCGGTACCGTGTTTCTGGTACAAAACTGAGGGAAGAAAAATCGAACCGGCCATTTCCACATTTCCCCTCCAAGCCTTGTCCTGTAGCGCCACCGCCCACCGGGACTAGCAGGCATGCCCGCGCCCTTGCCAACGTCGTCATGATACTACTGCCGCATTGCTGACTGTGTACTGCTGTGCTGCTGCAGATGGACATGTCCAGCCAGTTGGATCCCCAGGCTTTGGCCGCGTTCGTGGACGACAGTGTCTTTGCTCAGATGAGCGGGAAGCTTGGAGCAGACGCATCGCCGAAGAAAAATCTTTTCGTTGCGTGGATGCTGGAAGACTATCCCAACAAAGCCACACTCCAACTCGAGGCCTCCCAGATCCGGATACATGAATTGATACGGGTGGAGATCAGAAGAGCATACGGGCATACACGCGTGTCTCGACCTCTTGCACAAACTATTGCGGCCAAGACGGTGAAAGACCTCCTGGCAAAGTTTGTCCCTGAAGCCCGCTCCGGCACGCCCAAGTTGGATGAAAATGAAATGAAGCGAATCGCGGAGGCGTTCACCAAGGGCCGGTACCTCGGCGAAGCCCACCTCGACCTCGCACAGTATCTGCGGGACTGCTGGAAGGCCTACACCCCCACAAAGTACAAGGCGCCATGTGTGGCGGTCGTGCAGAGTTCTGGCTTCGGCAAGAGTCGGACGATGCGTGAGCTCGCGATCGAGGCTCAAAAGAGCGCCTTGAACATGAAAGTCCTGTACATGTGTGCTCGTGTGCACGAGTCGACGGGGTTTCCCAAGGCTACGAGCGAGCTTCGTGGTTGGCTGTTTCAAGAAGGCTCCGAAGTGGAAGACATCGCCAGTCGATTGAAGACAATTTACGTCTACGCGAACAAGCATTGGGCGGACGTTCAGAAGGAATGGCTGAAGCTGTTTACCGAACAGGCAGCGGACACCTCTGTATAGGCGAAACTTTCGGATGAAACAGATACGCTGGAGGGGGATACCTCTACTGAGAAGAATCCAAATGGCAGAATCGTGGTTCTGGTGATCGATGAAGCGAGAAGTCTGCTGGCTGAGAAGGGAGGCAAGAAGAATGACTTCCGAATGTTGCGAAATGCTCTCAGATCCGTGAACAAAGATATCGGCCATCGTGGATGCATTTTCGGCGTGCTGATTGATACGAACTCCAGGATCTCGGACCTGGCGCCTCCGCTGTTGTTGGACCCATCATCTCGGCTTTTCGATGGAGAGTTGGCATCGTTTGCGCCAGTTGTGTTAGCTGAGACAATGGACGCACACTGGGATCAATACTGTGAAGAAAAACAAGCCGGCGAAGATGAAGAAATGAAAGAGGACATCCAAGATGTAGATGAAGAAATGAAAGAGGAAATACTAGATGCGGGAGCAGAAGATGAAGAAATGGAAGAGGAAACTCAGGTTGCGGTGGGAGCTGAAAAAGACGAAGAGAAGAAGAAACAGCAAGAACGTGCTAAGATAGCTATGTACAAGAGAATCGTTACCGGGGATGCGAGTCAAGCTTGGCACGCGTTGTGCCGCATGGGGCGTCCGATGTGGTACAGCACTTGCCCCAATCCTGCGGATAGAGAAGATGTGATCAATCTTGCGGCGAACAAGCTGCTACTGGGGATTCCCCCTTCGCAAAATGCGTACAACAAGGATACCATGCTTGGTGTCGCCTCCATGCTTTGCCGTCTGGGCGTGCGCCCGCATTCAACGTCGGCTCTGGCATCTCGGGCGACTGCCGACTTCATGGCGATTCTCGCCTATGTGAATTTCAAGCGAGAAGGTTACGTCACCAGCTACGCTTCGGACCCAGTGCTCGCCTTAGGAGCGATGAAAGTGTGGTATGAACTGAAACATGGTCTGGCAAAGTATATCCTGCCGCAACTCAAGAACCTCCTTTTGGATGAAGCATTAGACACCGGTGGAGTTGGCGAAATTGGCGAGATGGTTGCTCGGATTTTGCTGCTTCTGGCGATGGACACGTGTGTGATGGGGGACAAAAGCTTTTCCCAGTGCTACCACACGATCGGGCAATTTGTACCGGTGCAGGATTTCTTGGACGTGCTGCAAGGCAACAAGGAGAGACCGATATATTGTAAGGGGATGTACAACGCGGAAGATAAGAGACCAGAATTGAACAAGTGGTGCTCGAAGTGGGATGGTTGGTACATGGGGTTCACCCACTTTGTGCAGTTGCAGCTTGAGCCGAATGAGGACACGCTTTGGTTTTTGCTGGGGCGTCAAGCTGCAGGTATTTTCCCCCGTAACCAGTATGGAGCCGATTTGTTGATCCCGATGTTTAAGAAGAGATCCAACAGCAGGCCAGTCGGTGGGGAGACAACGAGGGGTGAGCAGGAGGGGCATGAGGTGTTGATGATGTTGATTCAAGTGAAGAATCGTTTCCCAGTCGATGGTGGGTTTTCTAGGGCAGCGACGGAGAAACTATGCCCCTGGTTTGTGTTCGGAAAGAACAGTGATGGGAACTCGTCAGCGGGGAAATCTACTGATGAAATTGGTAGGGATCCGAAACCGCTGAGCTCCACGGATGTCCGTGATACCATTCGCATCTACATGAATGTGCGCGGTAGAACGCGTGACGGCAAGTTCATCTATGCCACGACAATGAAAGACAATCTTAAGCCCAAGAAGAAAGGCAACGCCTCTGAGGTGAAGGAGGAGAGTCAGACGATCGGGAGTCAGGCGAAGAAGCGGGCGAAGATCGAGAGCAATCCTGGCGTCTCAAGTGTGTCGAGTGTCTCGGAGGAGGATCCTGTTTTCACGATCTGCCTCCGTTTGCTCAACAGGGTCACCTACCCGTTCCTGAGCGACGGCGTGGCTTCCATGCTATCAAACATGGTGGAGTCTCAGTATGACCCGCTGGGGCTTGTGGAGGGCGACCTGGACTATCGCGATGAAGATGAAAAACGAAACAAGAACGTTAGTTCGTATGCAAAGTTGTCGCTTACCGCGACGCGCGACAAGTTGTTGCAGAACGCCCGTAAAGCACTAGCGTACGCGCCGGGTGACAAGGAAGAAGAGTGACGCTGAGAGTGACGTTGGTGGCAGTGGTGAGGGCCACTAGGCGATCAAGGTGGCGAGACGGAAACATCCAAGAAACGAGCACGTGAAAACTAAGAGGGTGAAGAAGCCGTCCCACTAAACGCGCCAAGTGATCCAACAAGACGCCCAAGCCCACACCGAGGCAGTAACAGTACGTGCCTGGTGCCTGCAGCAACTAGTTTTAACTACCAACAATTTGTTTTACTTGAGAGTACGCAGCCACCTCCAGTACGCTTCACCTTGCAGTCTTACGGAAGTAGCACGTCTTTTGCTGTCTACGTCGTCTTTACTGCTCTACCTACTCGTCCTGCAGGAACGGGTATTATAGTCCATGTACCCGCGCGCGTCGCCGAGGTAGAACGTGTCCGTGTCGTAGTCGTTCACGGGCTTGTTGAGTTGGAAGCGCCGCACCAGGTCCGGGTTCGAGATGAAGTGGCGGCCGATGGCCACGGCGTCGGCCGCGCCCTCCTCCACGATCTGCACGGCCGACTGCCGGTCGAAGCCCGACGCGGCGAGGAGCACGCCCTTGTACGTCTCGCGGAACTGCCGCGCCGAGCCCTTCTCGGGTGCCAGTGGGTCACGCACGTGGTAGCCACGCGGCTCGATCAGGTGCGCGTAGGCCAGGTCGTAGTTGTTGAGCCTGTTCAGCACGTACGTGTACGTGGCGATGGGGTCCGAGTCCTTGTCGCCGAAGCTGCCGCCGAACGGGGACAGTCGGATGCCCACCTTGGACGAGTCCAGACTCTCGAGGATGGCCTCCAGTGCCTCGAACAGGAAGCGCGCGCGGTTCTCGACGCTGCCGCCGTACTGGTCGGCGCGGTCGTTGATGCCGTCGTGCAGGAACTGCTCCAGCAAGTAGCCGTTGGCGGCGTGCAGCTCGACGCCGTCGAAGCCCGCGCTGATGGCGTTCTCCGCGGCCGTGCGGTAGTCCGACAACTGCAGGACCATCTTGCCGTGCACGGCCTTGGTCACGTGGCGCCAAGCCTCGATCTGCTGGGGCGCGAAGATGTCAGGGGAGCCCCAGGATCCGCGGCCCGTGGGCGTGATGTTGGTGGCCTCGGCGATGATGAGGCTGCCGGGCGTCGCGTGCTGCTTGTAGTACTCGACAACTGCAGGATTTCTCGACGTTTTCCTACTGCGTTTTTGACGCAATACGAACGATGTGAAAGTAGAGTATCGCGGCGATATATACGTTATGGACACCAGGGCCTCCGAGTTTTAGTTTTTCACACTATTAGAACGCCTAGGCGTTGTATTCGGATAGACCGCCTAGTAGGCGTTCTACTTTATTTCAATGCCTGGGCGTCTGGTACGGGGTAAGACGGTAGCAGGCATGCCCCCATTCTCGCCACCGCCGCCATGATACTACTGCCACTTTGCTGACTGTGTACTGCTGTGCTGCTTTGCAGGTGGACATATCCAGCGAGTTGGACTCCGACACTTTGGCTGCGTTCGTCGACGAGAGCGTATTCACTCAGTTGAGCGAGGAGCTTCGGAAGACGAAGAATGGCGACGATCAGCGAGAAATCTTCCTATGATGAATTATCTGAAACAATTTGTCGACCCCAGCAACCTCCGGGGCTCCCAAAAAAACGATAGATAGCTTAACCCTATCGTTACCAGAATGATACATCAAGTATCTTTTTACTGGTGATGTAGTAGCAAGATAACTGAAAAAGCAATTTTCTGAGCCACGGCAGTTTCCTCGCCGTTTATGACCAATCATACAGCTAAGAGGGATAGGTAAAACCCCACGCTATTGTGTCTTCTGTAGTATATCTATCAACACTATTGGGCACGGATGCGATCGTCGAGCACAACGCCAGCGGCAGCCGCACACAGGTCGCCGCCGGAGGTAGCGGCCGCAGTGCCGCCAGCGACATCGGCAGCAGGGTCTCGGACACGATGGAGGTGACCGTGGCCTTGGAGGACGCGGTCAGGGGCGTCTCCGCCGACATGGACACGGACACGGACGCGATGGCGGCGGGGGACTCGGGCAGCAAGCATAACGGCGGTCGCAGCGCCGTGTGTGCGCCGGCAACATCATGACCACGGACGCTTTGGGCGTGACTGTTGTCGTGCTGGAGGTGGTCGTGGGTGCCTCCACCGGCACGGAGGTTGGCAAGGATGTGACCGGTGACCAGACAGCGTGCGCAAATGCATCGACAGTGCGGAAGGAGACCGTTGTAGAGGTGCCAGCAGTACCGTCAGCGGCATCAACAGCATGACGTCCTTTGTAGAGATCGTGTCCGTACGGGAGGAGATCGGAGGCAACTTCGTCAGCATGGAGTCGGACGCAATGGTAGCGGGCGACTCGGGCAGCGAGGGCAGCGGCCGTGGCAGCGCCGTCAGCAGCATGACCTCAGATGTGGTGGTGGCGAACGTGGCCGTGCTGGATGTGGTCTGAGGCGTCTTCGCTGACATATACACAGTTGGGAGTTATTGTTCGGCTTTGAGGCGCGTGGAATTTCTAATAGCATCCTGTCGGATTATACGCAGTGGAGTGTGGTTAGCTTGCCGCTATGGTGCACCAGTGGTAAAGCAGTATGTTGTCAGCCACGAGCTAAATCCGCATTTACGGCATCAAGACTAGCGGGGGCAGATGGAATAGGTGTGACTTAGTGCAGTGAAGTATAAATGGTTAGTTGACTTTGACTATCTTGAAAAAATGATGTGAGGTTACGCCTTGGTGGCTGCGTTAGCCTTCTTTTGGTCTTGGCGGGCCTTCAGAAATGGACGGTTAGCTACATAAATTGGAGAGGTTCGTCGCAAGTTGCCATCGACAGTGTACACTTGCTTCGGCAAGTAAAACAAATGGTATTTCTGCCAGCAAGTCCAAGTTTGCTGTTGGCACAGATGCTGCTTCGTAGGGTCAACAGGGTATGTGCGCTTGCACAACGCAACTCGATGGGTCTCGCAGTAGTCGGTTTTCTCGGTAGGATCTCTGCCCTCGAACTTGCACACAGTGCATTTCCGCATTGAGCGACTCCTTCCCTGAAGCACCTCCGAGGACGCTCTTGCAACACACGTTTGTGCGTGATCGCCCGAAGACTCGGATACATCTGTCGATGCCGCGGTTTGGGTCGTCATCGGCATTGTTGTCGTTGTCGGCTTCGCAGCATACATCATTCCATGTTCCCTATCCAGAGATTTCTTCCAGTCCCCATTGAACAGTTCTCGAACCAGTGATGCCACAAATGCGCGATGACTATCGCGGGCCCTTGACCTCTTTTGGGCTGTACCTCCCGTCGAACGAGACTCCTCGCTCTCACCACGCGCCAAACTATCGCAAATGTAGGCATTTCACCTGGCTATATCAAGCATGACCATCGCTAGTTTATTATGCCACTTCTGAAATGAGTGGCCATCGGCTAGAGAAAATCGTGCACGCAGTTGGTCGAGCCGATCAACACCTTGCATCGCTGAATTATACTCGCCGACGCAAGTAGGAGCAGTGAAAGCCACACCCGATTCATTTATACGACGATGCACAGTTGATGTGGTCGAAGCATCGGCATTAGACACGACATTGACAATTGAGCCATCCACCCAACTAGCTGCGACAATATGCTTCTCTAAGCATACACCTTGCTTCATGTAGCCTCGCGGCTTCGCGTCCTCCTTACGAATCATCGTAAAATGAGGGAAATGCTTGCTAGATGTGCGTACAGTGCCACGACCATAGAGACCAATCGATCGTAAAGTCTTCAACAGCAAACAGGAAGTGTAGAAGTTGTCTGTGTTTACAATGCGACTGGATCCTTTCAAAGATGAAGTAACCGCCATGACGTGAGAGCGGATTTCAGACGACTTCGCGGTTAGATCAGCGAATTTCTGCACTTCTGAGCGTGGAATTACACCGTCCAGCCGATCATCAAGTTCACTGGAGCAGTGCAACTTGAAACTCACCGCGTACCACGAGGTTGAACAGCAACACACGTATAACTTGAAATGATACTTTCCGGTGGGTTTTTTGGGTTGAAGACTATAATGTGGCGGGCGTACTGGGATCGGCAGGCAATTGTGGCCTCATCAACAGCCACGTTTCGACCGACTTCGACATGGCGCAGGCATCGCGATTTCAGAATGCTCATGAGTGGTCGTATTCTAGCTACAGGACCGCGCTTGATGTCGGAGGTAGACACCTTGGAACGAAAACTCAAATTCTTACGGATGTACAGGAATCTTCGCCATGTCATAATTGACTTCAAACTAGTAGTACGCGCTCCAGGAAAAAATAGTTGCTTCCTCGTCGTCCACCCAGTAATTTCTCATCTCACCCTTGTCGAACAGAGTCATGTACCAGAGGATCCCATCCGGATGTGTAAATAGCCCTGACGGTTGGCCAAGCGATGCTGTGGGTGAAAATGTCATTGATGCTATCTCTTCGACTTCACCAGAGCACAAAGGGCGCTGCAATTCTTTCCGCCCGCGAAACGCAAACCACTCACGATAACCACGCTCGTCCATCTCCTCAAATTCATCTGCCAGTGCAGGAATGTTTGATAGTTTGGGGACCATGTTGCACAGGGACGTCCAAGACTCTCCAAATTGAAGTTTGTCTTTTTCCATGTTGGCAAACTGGCGGATACCACGGGTGATGATGGCTTCGGAAACATGGTGAACGTGATCTTTTATTTGAAAAGCAGTACACGTCCATTGAACCTGAAATTTGTCGTGAGGAACGCTAACATTGTCAGCATTTTTTTCGCTTGCCAGGCTGTAGCGAGTCACCACACCAATCAAAAATGCTGCGCCAACGTCGCGTTACAAACTGAGCGGCATCCACTCCTCATCAGCCGGTGAAAATGCTACGCTAGCATCAACAAATTTTTCGGCAGCCGCATGTGCTCGGCGAATCAACTCTTCTTTCATTGCCACAGCCTTGGGTTTACTGGCCTTGGTAGGTGCCTTCTTGCTTTTCGTTTTCCGTTGCTCAGGTTGGTTTTCGCTTCGGGGTGCCTTTGGAGCTGATTGTTCGGCAGGGCCGCGCTTTTTTCGCTTAGGTTTTGCTGCCCCCGAGCAATTTTTAGCAGGATGTGTGGCGGCGTTGGTCTCTGCAGGTTCCGACGGAGCCACACTTGGCGTCAAAACACTCGCGGGGAGGTCAAGTAGGGCATTGGGTCGTTCATCACTTCTCCCTTGGTCCACCAAGTTCATTTTTGTAGCGTTTGTGTTGCAAAGCGTGCTGCAATAGCTGCTATCACCGAAATCCTTGGCGAATCCACCATTAGGGTCTGGGATATTCACCGAAACGCAGACATCATGAGAGCAGAAGTGATGGAGAAATTTTTTGCACCAGGTACAACTGCGCTCGGTTGAACACTCCATATTGCAGACTGCACATTGCGCACATGTACCAGACGATGCGGTGGGTGCGTGGTGATCTAGCTGGAGTAAATGGTCTCGCGTAGCTGCTGCATGTACGGGTACGACGCGCGCTGATGTTGGCGGTGTAGATACAGCAGAGGCAGCACCATCATAATCCTGAGAGGTGCTGGCAGCACCATCAAACACCGATTCGTGACAGCTTACTCCCGGAAGCGCGGCTTTCTCACAATCAACGTCGTTTGCACTCGCTCCAGGAACTCCGCCGCTACTACCACGTACATCATCTGCCGCGTTGAGACCAACATCGCCAGCCCCACATATATTAACGTTGTTTTGGTCGACATCAATTTCGTCATCGGGTCGCCTGGACAGGGCACCATCCGTATCACCATCCTCCACTACCAATGTCCGCCGATAGTGCTCCAAAAGCGCTCGTTCACCCAGATAATAGTCGATACCCTCTGTTCCATTCGAGTCACCACCGGGACGGATATAGCGGTACAGATCACTCAAGCTTCGCCCTGTTGGACGCTTTGAACTCCAACCAGCCGCACTTAGAACTCGCCAAACAGATCCAAACATCGCATGGTCATCCGCGAGGTCTGTATGCCGGTGGATACGCGTCAATATGATACCTTGCTCGAGCGCTAGGTAAGCAACGGATCGTACCTAGACCGGTGGGAGCTGAAGGTGAGATACGACCCGAGCGTCGTGATTGTTGTCGCTTAGCTGTGGGCTCGCAGGTGCTCGACCGCTGCTTCCGCTTTCGTGGCATTGGGTATGTGGTGGTGGACGAGCTCAGCTAGCGTACCAGTGGCTCCTTCACGGCAAAGATCTCTAACTGGTTTGCATGCATCGGTCTCGCTTGAGCCATTGGACCGAATATATTGTTATTTGTATGGCCATGTTCGAAGTGTTCAAAGGGACCGAACGTACTAGGCTTTGTATGGGGTGGTTCGACTCATCGTTGTATGTGATGTTAGTATGGTGGAGTTTGAACCCACCGGTGCAGGTTCAATGCCCGCCATGCGGAATGCAGCGTAGCTGTGCTGACAAGGTACCGTGCAAAATGCATCGGATATCGAGTGCGGGATGAATACAGTGTAATTACACAGAGTCATGAATAGTACGAGTACTCAAAGCGTTCAACGGTAACATACGGTACTTAGATTTACTCCAGTATTGCTACCAAATGTAAGTGCTGTAGCGGCTTCGGCATCGTCTCCACAGTTACGTTGACCCATGCAAGCCCCATAGTGACGGTCCGAACTACGGTACACGGCGACAGTGGTGACGCCCATCGTAGATACACTGCTGCCAAGTGCCAATGCCGCCTGCGTGTCCCTGTCGCTGGGCAAATTGGGCGCTTGCGACGTCGTCGTCATGGCGACTTCAGGCTCCATCTTGACCCCCGATGGGACTCGAACGCTCCATTTCTAGCGGTAGCCTCTCTTGATCTTTGTCGCCGGTGGCACCCCGCTCCCTCCTGAGGCATCTACGTGCGGTTGTCCGTCGATGAGGATCGCTGGAAGCGAAAAAGGGCGGGAGAACGCCGTCCACCTGCAGGTCTAGTGGGCAGTCGTCCAGTGCCGCCTCCGACGCTCCATCTCGGGGTCCTGTAGCAGAATCTCGGCGTCTCGCAGCTGAACGTGGTTGACAGCCACACCCGGCGGCAATGCCGTGAGGAGAGTTGGGGGCTACGGGACAAACGACACCATCCCAGCGCCAGTTCTAGTAGCACTGCGTTATCGACAACAAATGCGCTGTTGCGGCGGTTGTGCGGGACGTGGTCGTCGGGTGGGTACACGACGGACAGCGAGTCCAACTTCATGCCCGGTGCGTCCCGAGGTCAGCGCGTCAAGTAGCACAGGCGGTCAGCAGCAGCAGATGCGTCGACACACAGGAGCTGAGCGTGTGGCGACTCCAACGACGCTGGACTTGGAGAGTGAGGGGCGAACTGGCAGGCTGGACTTGACCGCAGCGTGCATAGTATCACGGGCAGCCACGCGCCGCAAACGATGGGTACGGCCAGCACATGTGTACCACCGTCGTTCGAGGCGTGGAAACCGGAAGAACGGAGCGTGGTCAGCCAGGGACACTTGGGATCGAGCTTGCAAAATCGGAAATGAGCTCCGATGCGAGAAGGTCATTTTGATTCGGAGCAAGCCGATCAAGCCGACCAAACAACAGTGGATCGATTTGAACTAATTCCACCAATCACACTTCTTGTTGAACTTTGGCAGCCAATCACTGTCATCGATTTTTCGGAGACAGGTTTTGATTGGTCAAAGCGAAGACATGGAAAAAAATGTCAGCGCGGGAAAGCTTGAAAAGATCAACCAAAGCAAAATGGGCACCAAAAAGGCGAGCCTTTACATGTTGTGTAAACCACTTCAAATACCAATAGTCTATTTATGTGACATTATGTATCGCGACCGCTCTACCCGTTCTCCCTCGCCGAAACGCCCTACCATCGGCATTCCCCCAATCATGGTCTTGATGGACCTGGTCGGAAACGTCTCCGCCGTCGGCGACACGGATGCGATGGTGGCGGGCGACTCGGGCAGCAAGCACAACGGCGGCCGCAGCGCCGCCGTGTGTGCCGTCAACAGCATGGTCTCGGAGGCTTCCGCGGCGACCGTGGCCGTGTTGGACGTGATCGGGGGCGTCTCCGCTGGCATGGTCACGAACGCGACGGTGGCATGGTCACGAACGCGACGGTGGCATGGTCACGAACGCGACGGTGGCATTCGGCTCGGGCAGCGAGCGCAACGACAGCGGCAGTCCGCACGCAGGTTGCTGCCGGTAGTAGCGTCAGCGGCGTCGCCAGCGACATCGACAGCAGGGTCTCGGACACGATGGAGGTGACCGTGGCCTTGGTGGACGTGGTCAGCGGCGTCTCCGCCGACATGGACACGGACGCGGACGCGATGGTGGCGGGCGACTCGGGCAGCAAGCACAACGGCGGCCGCAGCGCCGCCGTGTGTGCCGTCAACAGCATGGTCTCGGAGGCTTCCGCGGCGACCGTGGCCGTGTTGGACGTGATCGGGGGCGTCTCCACTGGCATGGTCACGAACGCGACGGTGGCATGGTCACGAACGCGACGGTGGCATTCGGCTCGGGCAGCGAGCGCAACGACAGCGGCAGTCCGCACGCAGGTTGCCGCCGGTAGTAGCGTCAGCGGCGTCGCCAGCGACATCGACAGCAGGGTCTCGGACACGATGGAGGTGACCGTGGCCTTGGTGGACGTGGTCAGCGGCGTCTCCGCCGACATGGACACGGACGCGGACGCGATGGTGGCGGGCGACTCGGGCAGCAAGCACAACGGCGGCCGCAGCGCCGCCGTGTGTGCCGTCAACAGCATGGTCTCGGAGGCTTCCGCGGCGACCGTGGCCGTGTTGGATGTGATCGGGGGCGTCTCCACTGGCATGGTCACGAACGCGACGGTGGCATGGTCACGAACGCGACGGTGGCATTCGGCTCGGGCAGCGAGCGCAACGACAGCGGCAGTCCGCACGCAGGTTGCTGCCGGTAGTAGCGTCAGCGGCGTCGCCAGCGACATCGACAGCAGGGTCTCGGACACGATGGAGGTGACCGTGGCCTTGGTGGACGTGGTCAGCGGCGTCTCCGCCGACATGGACACGGACGCGGACGCGATGGTGGCGGGCGACTCGGGCAGCAAGCACAACGGCGGCCGCAGCGCCGCCGTGTGTGCCGTCAACAGCATGGTCTCGGAGGCTTCCGCGGCGACCGTGGCCGTGTTGGATGTGATCGGGGGCGTCTCCACTGGCATGGTCACGAACGCGACGGTGGCATGGTCACGAACGCGACGGTGGCATTCGGCTCGGGCAGCGAGCGCAACGACAGCGGCAGTCCGCACGCAGGTTGCTGCCGGTAGTAGCGTCAGCGGCGTCGCCAGCGACATCGACAGCAGGGTCTCGGACACGATGGAGGTGACCGTGGCCTTGGTGGACGTGGTCAGCGGCGTCTCCGCCGACATGGACACGGACGCAGACGCGATGGTGGCGGGCGACTCGGGCAGCAAGCACAACGGCGGCCGCAGCGCCGCCGTGTGTGCCGTCAACAGCATGGTCTCGGAGGCTTCCGCGGCGACCGTGGCCGTGTTGGACGTGATCGGGGGCGTCTCCGCTGGCATGGTCACGAACGCGACGGTGGCATGGTCACGAACGCGACGGTGGCATGGTCACGAACGCGACGGTGGCATTCGGCTCGGGCAGCGAGCGCAACGACAGCGGCAGTCCGCACGCAGGTTGCCGCCGGTAGTAGCGTCAGCGGCGTCGCCAGCGACATCGACAGCAGGGTCTCGGACACGATGGAGGTGACCGTGGCCTTGGTGGACGTGGTCAGCGGCGTCTCCGCCGACATGGACACGGACGCGGACGCGATGGTGGCGGGCGACTCGGGCAGCAAGCACAATGGCGGCCGCAGCGCCGCCGTGTGTGCCGTCAACAGCATGGTCTCGGAGGCTTCCGCGGCGACCGTGGCCGTGTTGGATGTGATCGGGGGCGTCTCCACTGGCATGGTCACGAACGCGACGGTGGCATTCGGCTCGGGCAGCGAGCGCAACGACAGCGGCAGTCCGCACGCAGGTTGCTGCCGGTAGTAGCGTCAGCGGCGTCGCCAGCGACATCGACAGCAGGGTCTCGGACACGATGGAGGTGACCGTGGCCTTGGTGGACGTGGTCAGCGGCGTCTCCGCCGACATGGACACGGACGCGGACGCGATGGTGGCGGGCGACTCGGGCAGCAAGCACAATGGCGGCCGCAGCGCCGCCGTGTGTGCCGTCAACAGCATGGTCTCGGAGGCTTCCGCGGCGACCGTGGCCGTGTTGGATGTGATCGGGGGCGTCTCCACTGGCATGGTCACGAACGCGACGGTGGCATGGTCACGAACGCGACGGTGGCATTCGGCTCGGGCAGCGAGCGCAACGACAGCGGCAGCCCGCACGCAGGTTGCCGCCGGTAATAGCGTCAGCGGCGTCGCCAGCGACATCGACAGCAGGGTCTCGGACACGATGGAGGTGACCGTGGCCTTGGTGGACGTGGTCAGCGGCGTCTCCGCCGACATGGACACGGACGCGGACGCGATGGTGGCGGGCGACTCGGGCAGCAAGCACAACGGCGGCCGCAGCGCCGCCGTGTGTGCCGTCAACAGCATGGTCTCGGAGGCTTCCGCGGCGACCGTGGCCGTGTTGGATGTGATCGGGGGCGTCTCCACTGGCATGGTCACGAACGCGACGGTGGCATGGTCACGAACGCGACGGTGGCATTCGGCTCGGGCAGCGAGCGCAACGACAGCGGCAGCCCGCACGCAGGTTGCCGCCGGTAATAGCGTCAGCGGCGTCGCCAGCGACATCGACAGCAGGGTCTCGGACACGATGGAGGTGACCGTGGCCTTGGTGGACGTGGTCAGCGGCGTCTCCGCCGACATGGACACGGACGCGGACGCGATGGTGGCGGGCGACTCGGGCAGCAAGCACAATGGCGGCCGCAGCGCCGCCGTGTGTGCCGTCAACAGCATGGTCTCGGAGGCTTCCGCGGCGACCGTGGCCGTGTTGATGTGATCGGGGGCGTCTCCACTGGCATGGTCACGAACGCGACGGTGGCATGGTCACGAACGCGACGGTGGCATTCGGCTCGGGCAGCGAGCGCAACGACAGCGGCAGTCCGCACGCAGGTTGCCGCCGGTAATAGCGTCAGCGGCGTCGCCAGCGACATCGACAGCAGGGTCTCGGACACGATGGAGGTGACCGTGGCCTTGGTGGACGTGGTCAGCGGCGTCTCCGCCGACATGGACACGGACGCGGACGCGATGGTGGCGGGCGACTCGGGCAGCAAGCACAACGGCGGCCGCAGCGCCGCCGTGTGTGCCGTCAACAGCATGGTCTCGGAGGCTTCCGCGGCGACCGTGGCCGTGTTGGATGTGATCGGGGGCGTCTCCACTGGCATGGTCACGAACGCGACGGTGGCATGGTCACGAACGCGACGGTGGCATTCGGCTCGGGCAGCGAGCGCAACGACAGCGGCAGTCCGCACGCAGGTTGCCGCCGGTAGTAGCGTCAGCGGCGTCGCCAGCGACATCGACAGCAGGGTCTCGGACACGATGGAGGTGACCGTGGCCTTGGTGGACGTGGTCAGCGGCGTCTCCGCCGACATGGACACGGACGCGGACGCGATGGTGGCGGGCGACTCGGGCAGCAAGCACAACGGCGGCCGCAGCGCCGCCGTGTGTGCCGTCAACAGCATGGTCTCGGAGGCTTCCGCGGCGACCGTGGCCGTGTTGGATGTGATCGGGGGCGTCTCCACTGGCATGGTCACGAACGCGACGGTGGCATGGTCACGAACGCGACGGTGGCATTCGGCTCGGGCAGCGAGCGCAACGACAGCGGCAGTCCGCACGCAGGTTGCTGCCGGTAGTAGCGTCAGCGGCGTCGCCAGCGACATCGACAGCAGGGTCTCGGACACGATGGAGGTGACCGTGGCCTTGGTGGACGTGGTCAGCGGCGTCTCCGCCGACATGGACACGGACGCGGACGCGATGGTGGCGGGCGACTCGGGCAGCAAGCACAACGGCGGCCGCAGCGCCGCCGTGTGTGCCGTCAACAGCATGGTCTCGGAGGCTTCCGCGGCGACCGTGGCCGTGTTGGATGTGATCGGGGGCGTCTCCACTGGCATGGTCACGAACGCGACGGTGGCATGGTCACGAACGCGACGGTGGCATTCGGCGGCGACTCGGGCAGCAAGCACAACGGCGGCCGCAGCGCCGCCGTGTGTGCCGTCAACAGCATGGTCTCGGAGGCTTCCGCGGCGACCGTGGCCGTGTTGGATGTGATCGGGGGCGTCTCCACTGGCATGGTCACGAACGCGACGGTGGCATGGTCACGAACGCGACGGTGGCATTCGGCTCGGGCAGCGAGCGCAACGACAGCGGCAGTCCGCACGCAGGTTGCTGCCGGTAGTAGCGTCAGCGGCGTCGCCAGCGACATCGACAGCAGGGTCTCGGACACGATGGAGGTGACCGTGGCCTTGGTGGACGTGGTCAGCGGCGTCTCCGCCGACATGGACACGGACGCGGACGCGATGGTGGCGGGCGACTCGGGCAGCAAGCACAACGGCGGCCGCAGCGCCGCCGTGTGTGCCGTCAACAGCATGGTCTCGGAGGCTTCCGCGGCGACCGTGGCCGTGTTGGATGTGATCGGGGGCGTCTCCACTGGCATGGTCACGAACGCGACGGTGGCATGGTCACGAACGCGACGGTGGCATTCGGCTCGGGCAGCGAGCGCAACGACAGCGGCAGTCCGCACGCAGGTTGCCGCCGGTAGTAGCGTCAGCGGCGTCGCCAGCGACATCGACAGCAGGGTCTCGGACACGATGGAGGTGACCGTGGCCTTGGGGGACGTGGTCAGCGGCGTCTCCGCCGACATGGACACGGACGCGGACGCGATGGTGGCGGGCGACTCGGGCAGCAAGCACAACGGCGGCCGCAGCGCCGCCGTGTGTGCCGTCAACAGCATGGTCTCGGAGGCTTCCGCGGCGACCGTGGCCGTGTTGGACGTGATCGGGGGCGTCTCCGCTGGCATGGTCACGAACGCGACGGTGGCATGGTCACGAACGCGACGGTGGCATGGTCACGAACGCGACGGTGGCATTCGGCTCGGGCAGCGAGCGCAACGACAGCGGCAGTCCGCACGCAGGTTGCCGCCGGTAGTAGCGTCAGCGGCGTCGCCAGCGACATCGACAGCAGGGTCTCGGACACGATGGAGGTGACCGTGGCCTTGGTGGACGTGGTCAGCGGCGTCTCCGCCGACATGGACACGGACGCGGACGCGATGGTGGCGGGCGACTCGGGCAGCAAGCACAACGGCGGCCGCAGCGCCGCCGTGTGTGCCGTCAACAGCATGGTCTCGGAAGCTTCCGCGGCGACCGTGGCCGTGTTGGATGTGATCGGGGGCGTCTCCACTGGCATGGTCACGAACGCGACGGTGGCATGGTCACGAACGCGACGGTGGCATTCGGCTCGGGCAGCGAGCGCAACGACAGCGGCAGTCCGCACGCAGGTTGCCGCCGGTAGTAGCGTCAGCGGCGTCGCCAGCGACATCGACAGCAGGGTCTCGGACACGATGGAGGTGACCGTGGCCTTGGTGGACGTGGTCAGCGGCGTCTCCGCCGACATGGACACGGACGCGGACGCGATGGTGGCGGGCGACTCGGGCAGCAAGCACAACGGCGGCCGCAGCGCCGCCGTGTGTGCCGTCAACAGCATGGTCTCGGAGGCTTCCGCGGCGACCGTGGCCGTGTTGGATGTGATCGGGGGCGTCTCCACTGGCATGGTCACGAACGCGACGGTGGCATGGTCACGAACGCGACGGTGGCATTCGGCTCGGGCAGCGAGCGCAACGACAGCGGCAGTCCGCACGCAGGTTGCCGCCGGTAGTAGCGTCAGCGGCGTCGCCAGCGACATCGACAGCAGGGTCTCGGACACGATGGAGGTGACCGTGGCCTTGGTGGACGTGGTCAGCGGCGTCTCCGCCGACATGGACACGGACGCGGACGCGATGGTGGCGGGCGACTCGGGCAGCAAGCACAACGGCGGCCGCAGCGCCGCCGTGTGTGCCGTCAACAGCATGGTCTCGGAGGCTTCCGCGGCGACCGTGGCCGTGTTGGATGTGATCGGGGGCGTCTCCACTGGCATGGTCACGAACGCGACGGTGGCATGGTCACGAACGCGACGGTGGCATTCGGCTCGGGCAGCGAGCGCAACGACAGCGGCAGTCCGCACGCAGGTTGCTGCCGGTAGTAGCGTCAGCGGCGTCGCCAGCGACATCGACAGCAGGGTCTCGGACACGATGGAGGTGACCGTGGCCTTGGTGGACGTGGTCAGCGGCGTCTCCGCCGACATGGACACGGACGCGGACGCGCAGGTGGCATTCGGCTCGGGCAGCGAGCGCAACGACAGCGGCAGTCCGCACGCAGGTTGCCGCCGGTAGTAGCGTCAGCGGCGTCGCCAGCGACATCGACAGCAGGGTCTCGGACACGATGGAGGTGACCGTGGCCTTGGTGGACGTGGTCAGCGGCGTCTCCGCCGACATGGACACGGACGCGGACGCGATGGTGGCGGGCGACTCGGGCAGCAAGCACAACGGCGGCCGCAGCGCCGCCGTGTGTGCCGTCAACAGCATGGTCTCGGAGGCTTCCGCGGCGACCGTGGCCGTGTTGGATGTGATCGGGGGCGTCTCCACTGGCATGGTCACGAACGCGACGGTGGCATGGTCACGAACGCGACGGTGGCATTCGGCTCGGGCAGCGAGCGCAACGACAGCGGCAGTCCGCACGCAGGTTGCTGCCGGTAGTAGCGTCAGCGGCGTCGCCAGCGACATCGACAGCAGGGTCTCGGACACGATGGAGGTGACCGTGGCCTTGGTGGACGTGGTCAGCGGCGTCTCCGCCGACATGGACACGGACGCGGACGCGATGGTGGCGGGCGACTCGGGCAGCAAGCACAACGGCGGCCGCAGCGCCGCCGTGTGTGCCGTCAACAGCATGGTCTCGGAGGCTTCCGCGGCGACCGTGGCCGTGTTGGACGTGATCGGGGGCGTCTCCGCTGGCATGGTCACGAACGCGACGGTGGCATGGTCACGAACGCGACGGTGGCATGGTCACGAACGCGACGGTGGCATTCGGCTCGGGCAGCGAGCGCAACGACAGCGGCAGTCCGCACGCAGGTTGCCGCCGGTAGTAGCGTCAGCGGCGTCGCCAGCGACATCGACAGCAGGGTCTCGGACACGATGGAGGTGACCGTGGCCTTGGTGGACGTGGTCAGCGGCGTCTCCGCCGACATGGACACGGACGCGGACGCGATGGTGGCGGGCGACTCGGGCAGCAAGCACAACGGCGGCCGCAGCGCCGCCGTGTGTGCCGTCAACAGCATGGTCTCGGAAGCTTCCGCGGCGACCGTGGCCGTGTTGGATGTGATCGGGGGCGTCTCCACTGGCATGGTCACGAACGCGACGGTGGCATGGTCACGAACGCGACGGTGGCATGGTCACGAACGCGACGGTGGCATTCGGCTCGGGCAGCGAGCGCAACGACAGCGGCAGTCCGCACGCAGGTTGCCGCCGGTAGTAGCGTCAGCGGCGTCGCCAGCGACATCGACAGCAGGGTCTCGGACACGATGGAGGTGACCGTGGCCTTGGTGGACGTGGTCAGCGGCGTCTCCGCCGACATGGACACGGACGCGGACGCGATGGTGGCGGGCGACTCGGGCAGCAAGCACAACGGCGGCCGCAGCGCCGCCGTGTGTGCCGTCAACAGCATGGTCTCGGAGGCTTCCGCGGCGACCGTGGCCGTGTTGGATGTGATCGGGGGCGTCTCCACTGGCATGGTCACGAACGCGACGGTGGCATGGTCACGAACGCGACGGTGGCATTCGGCTCGGGCAGCGAGCGCAACGACAGCGGCAGTCCGCACGCAGGTTGCCGCCGGTAGTAGCGTCAGCGGCGTCGCCAGCGACATCGACAGCAGGTTTTCAGGCGCGATGGAGGTGACTCTGACCTTGGGAGATGCGGTCAGAGCTACGATGTCCGTGCAAGACGTTGATGTAGATGTGTACAATGGCTGATATATGTTATTGGCTCTACAGGTAATGAACAATGGGATGAACATGTCTGACAAACGAAGTATATTGAATGTCCCTTTCCATTCTGCGCGAGGTACTTAGATGTAGGGCTCTACAACCCTGGTGTACCAGTATGCGTGATGAAGCTGGGAAGACCAAGACACTTGAACGTCGATACGCTGTCGGAGCGTCCAGACAGAGCAGAAATTGCGCGGGCAGGTTGGGCGGTGCCCGCCGCAAATTGTTGCCATGACAACGACGTGGACCAAACCTGCTGCTGAAGATGCAAAGTCCTCCAGCGCCGCAAAACTTGTAGGCTCGAAAACGATATTGTTCGCAAATAAAACACTGCACCCGTCAATATCCTCGCGTACGGCTGGGCTCATCGCTCTGAGGTCGGCCTCGTGAATCGTGACCTTGGATAAATTCGGGAAATCCACGCGTGCGCCACGAATCAGCAGTTTTGACATGTTTGCCAAGTTGTCCTGGAACTCAATCCCGATGCATCTCCCAACACAAGTCTCCAATGCCACTTGTGCAACCACGTTGCCGATCCCAGATCCAAAGTCAACAAAAGTTTCGGCGATTGTAAGCGTTGGAATGACTGCCAGTATTGCTGAAACCCCAGTTGGCGAAATCTCACCAGCATGACAATCCGGCGCATGGACGGGTTGACGCAAGGCCGAGGCATACAAACTTGACACAGCGTCATGAACGTTGCCAACATTATCATCTCCTTGGGAAAGAATCTAAGCTCACGCCGTGTGTCCTCTTCAGCGTCTTTAGACGAATCTGCAGCTGTCGCTGTGTCTTCCCGCAGTATGGCATCCCCAACCAGACAGTCCGCCAGTTAATTCGGCGGCCTGCATCAACCTGCTCCTTTGCCAGCCGATAAAGCAGCAAGTCCTCTTCGTCCGAGAAGTCTGCCATCGGGTTGCCACGAGATCTAGAAATCTATAATGCCATACATACCATAAGATATTTGGTCTCATACTTCTTCGCCTGATAACCTACCGACCTTTCACAAAGGTCCCATCCCCATCAATGTACTCAACACCAGGTTCAAGACACTCCTACCGCCAGCAAGGCAACTAAGCCCAGCTATCGATGCCGCTGCTATAAACGCTCTCGTGGTGCTGCCCAGCCAACACGAAAGCACCCCTATTAGCCTCATCGACCGCGCCGAATGCCACCTTCACGTTCGTGACCATGCCAGAGGAGACGCCCCCGATCACGTCCAACACGGCCACGGTCGCCGCGGAAGCCTCCGAGACCATGCTGTTGACGGCACACACGGCGGCGCTGCGGCCGCCGTTGTGCTTGCTGCCCGAGTCGCCCGCCACCATCGCATCCGTGTCGCCGACGGCGGAGACGTTTCCGACCAGGTCCATCAAGACCATGATTGGGGGAATGCCGATGGTAGGGCGTTTCGGCGAGGGAGAACGGGTAGAGCGGTCGCGATACATAATGTCACATAAATAGACTATTGGTATTTGAAGTGGTTTACACAACATGTAAAGGCTCGCCTTTTTGGTGCCCATTTTGCTTTGGTTGATCTTTTCAAGCTTTCCCGCGCTGACATTTTTTTCCATGTCTTCGCTTTGACCAATCAAAACCTGTCTCCGAAAAATCGATGACAGTGATTGGCTGCCAAAGTTCAACAAGAAGTGTGATTGGTGGAATTAGTTCAAATCGATCCACTGTTGTTTGGTCGGCTTGATCGGCTTGCTCCGAATCAAAATGACCTTCTCGCATCGGAGCTCATTTCCGATTTTGCAAGCTCGATCCCAAGTGTCCCTGGCTGACCACGCTCCGTTCTTCCGGTTTCCACGCCTCGAACGACGGTGGTACACATGTGCTGGCCGTACCCATCGTTTGCGGCGCGTGGCTGCCCGTGATACTATGCACGCTGCGGTCAAGTCCAGCCTGCCAGTTCGCCCCTCACTCTCCAAGTCCAGCGTCGTTGGAGTCGCCACACGCTCAGCTCCTGTGTGTCGACGCATCTGCTGCTGCTGACCGCCTGTGCTACTTGACGCGCTGACCTCGGGACGCACCGGGCATGAAGTTGGACTCGCTGTCCGTCGTGTACCCACCCGACGACCACGTCCCGCACAACCGCCGCAACAGCGCATTTGTTGTCGATAACGCAGTGCTACTAGAACTGGCGCTGGGATGGTGTCGTTTGTCCCGTAGCCCCCAACTCTCCTCACGGCATTGCCGCCGGGTGTGGCTGTCAACCACGTTCAGCTGCGAGACGCCGAGATTCTGCTACAGGACCCCGAGATGGAGCGTCGGAGGCGGCACTGGACGACTGCCCACTAGACCTGCAGGTGGACGGCGTTCTCCCGCCCTTTTTCGCTTCCAGCGATCCTCATCGACGGACAACCGCACGTAGATGCCTCAGGAGGGAGCGGGGTGCCACCGGCGACAAAGATCAAGAGAGGCTACCGCTAGAAATGGAGCGTTCGAGTCCCATCGGGGGTCAAGATGGAGCCTGAAGTCGCCATGACGACGACGTCGCAAGCGCCCAATTTGCCCAGCGACAGGGACACGCAGGCGGCATTGGCACTTGGCAGCAGTGTATCTACGATGGGCGTCACCACTGTCGCCGTGTACCGTAGTTCGGACCGTCACTATGGGGCTTGCATGGGTCAATGTAACTGTGGAGACGATGCCGAAGCCGCTACAGCACTTACATTTGGTAGCAATACTGGAGTAAATCTAAGTACCGTATGTTACCGTTGAACGCTTTGAGTACTCGTACTATTCATGACTCTGTGTAATTACACTGTATTCATCCCGCACTCGATATCCGATGCATTTTGCACGGTACCTTGTCAGCACAGCTACGCTGCATTCCGCATGGCGGGCATTGAACCTGCACCGGTGGGTTCAAACTCCACCATACTAACATCACATACAACGATGAGTCGAACCACCCCATACAAAGCCTAGTACGTTCGGTCCCTTTGAACACTTCGAACATGGTCATACAAATAACAATATATTCGGTCCATCATATCCACCCAACAACGCTGATCTCTAGTACTTCATCATTCTAGATTCTGCGCTCAAGTGGAAAGATGGTTGATCGCAGGAAGGGCGCGGATAATGTAGAGGTACGTGTTTTGGCTGTTTCGGCATCGTGTTGTCATGCTAGTGCTAATACGAACGGCTATGTATGGGTAGTTGCCAGGACCAACGAAGACGCATGCAAGCGATGGAAGGCGAATTTACAGATCGTCCAAGACGCTTGAAATGGTAGTGATGACATTGTTTCGGCCGTGCTGATGCTCATCGCATATATAGTCTTTGGCTTTGTGTAGCGCCGGTGAGCAACTGGAGTTCGACAATCTGTATCCAGTATTTGTGACCCCTTCTGGGCGAGAGCGGGTAAGTTCGTGTAGCTACGCAATAACGTTTGGCTAAAGCTAATCAGTGCCTACCTGTAGAGAACCGAAGCGAGATGTGGCACGTCGATCGACATAGACGACTTCATAATTGCACTGCCAGTGAAAGAGATGAACGACCTCTACGTGGCGATTTGTCGCGGTGAAGATGACCGTGCGCACAACTTTATCTGGGTGATGCGTTGGCAGGAGACGTGCATGGAGCTGTCTGAGGTAAGCCAAAATGTGTATCGTGGCTGGTTACGGGTAATGATATCTATGTTTGTATTCGATATGAAAATGTAGATCACGCGCCCGCAAATTCGGGCACGTCTAAAATGTATAAACTCCAACTTGTTGCGGTATCGCGAGGAGCAAGACGAACATATCGAGCGCTTTATCGCGATGGAGGCGGACCCTTCCACACCACACGACACCCTCATGAACCATTATAAGGAAGGCCTTGACTTGCAGAAACGCTACAACATAGTTGCCGATCTAGCCACAGCTATGGACAGAGTCGATATGCTGGCGGACCAACTCAAGGATCAAGCTCACTGGACATGCTCTTGCGAGAAGCGCGCATACCACCGCTCGCCCCAATGGCTTCAAGAGCAACCTCTCGACTTGGCACCACAAGCTCTAAGGCCGCGCTGGTTTTGGCCTCCCCGCTATCATGGGTGATATCCAGTTGATTCGCAGAGCAGGACGCTCCAAGGTGAAAACACGTTACTGAAGTTACTATGTCCTCCCCCTAGTAACAGAGCTATATGCAATTAAGTTGAATGTAATATCTCAAGTAATGTTTCATCTAGTGTGAATTGATAATTCTAACGAAACCCAAAGCTGTCTGAATACGGTGATCCTTTGCTCCAGCACGTATACCCATTCCGCCCACATCCACCAAGGCCACGGTCACGTCCATCGTGTACGAGACCCTGCTGTCGATGTCGCTGGCGACGCCGCTGACGCTACTACCGGCGGCAACCTGCGTGCGGACTGCCGCTGTCGTTGCGCTCGCTGCCCGAGCCGAATGCCACCGTCGCGTTCGTGACCATGCCAGTGGAGACGCCCCCGATCACATCCAACACGGCCACGGTCGCCGCGGAAGCATCCGAGACCATGCTGTTGACGGCACACACGGTGGCGCTGCGGCCGCCGTTGTGCTTGCTGCCCGAGATGCCCGCAGTCATCGCGTGCTTGTCGCCGCCGTCGGAGACGCTCCGGCCAGGTCCAGGACAGCCGCCATAGTCGCCAGCGTCGCATCGGAGACCACGGCGCCGCCGCTTCACAACTAGGAAAAGCCCCACATAATCCACAAGATGGTGCTGTACTGCTCTTACTAAAGTTTTGTTAGGGTGCTGTTCTCACGGTACTGCTTCCACTGATACTTTTGTCGATTCGCTGCGAATCACAGAGAAGCAGTAAAATGATGCCTCACGTATCTTTTTGATCGAAAGGTCGCTTCAAACCTCCCATCACGTATACTTTTGATCAGTTGGCCTCGCAAACCTAATACAGCAAAATGATACCTCATGCATCATTTTACCCCGTTTTACTTAAAGTTTGTATGGTGTCCCTTCAAACAGAAATGTATGGCGTTAACGATAGGGTTAATATTCACGAAGATCATGGACGTGTACGAGATTCCTGGAGTGACCTTCGATCTGGCGGAAACTATCGCGGCCAAGACGGTGAAAGACCTCCTGGCAAAGTTTGTTCCTGAAGCCCGGATGAAAATGAAATGAAGGGAATCACCTTCCCGTCAGGAAAATACTTAACGGATAGCGCCAAATAGCGTACCCTTCCCGAATTGAATACCTCCTCTCAAATCTGATAGAATGTGCTCAGTATACAAAGCTATTGTACCTACGCCAATTTGTATACCTCAACCAAACCGTATAGAACGTTGAGTACTTATAATGTTCTTGAAATTTATGTGAAGTTTAGCATGTAAACACCTTTTGATTGGCTAAGAGATGTCTTAAAATTGAAAATCACCCATTATTTTCCGTGTAAGTATTACTTTGTCAAATACGGCAAGCAAGATCCGGTTATTTTTATCTTTTTAAAGACCACAGTTTAAAAACTGACACTTGTATTCGGTACTGTTTGCATTTTGTGTAACTTTACGCAAAATTACCGTAAGGTACCCAAAGAAAAATGGTTTTGGTTGTTGGTCTAAGTTCTGCTTGCATCTAACGGCATGAGAGACGTTGTGAACCAACTCTGCGCAATCTATGGATGTCTCCATGGTTTGAAGACTGGTACATACGTTGGCAGGATGCCATCAAAGAGGTTTTGCAGAACGTAGCTAGCTCTACACA